CGTCCCGTCTGCCCGTCAACGACGACGGGCAGCCACGTTTCATCGACCGAGCAGACAAGTTCTATCTTTTCTTTTTTTCTGGTGATCCCACTAAGATATATCGATAAAAACAACGCGTCTATTGGTGACGATCCACACAGTGTGTGTACGATCGGTCGAGCGGTGAGAGCAGCCGCGAGGAACTCAACACGCTCACGCAGATTTCCGTCGTTTCTGCACGTCGTTGCCGGCTTGAAAACGTCACGTGTGGTGCCGGACAAAGAGAAACAGAGAGAGCATATGCGATAGTATCGTAAACGCGTCGCATCCCCGCACGTTAAGTGGACGAGAGAACGCTCAGATAGGATATATGTTAGCGTGCTTTGACTTCGGTGAAGACCGGTGAGACGTGCTGTGCTACTGCGCCCCGACGACAACGCGGAGAGGCTCTTACAAGACGTAAGTACCGTCCTAATATAGAGTACTCGTAGCTCCATATGGTAGCGTATGAAAATAATTTGTTCCGTCCGGGCATATTCTTATTGACCAAAGAGCTTGATCTCATCCGTTTTAAACACAAGACGTTCAGGTTATCGCGTCAACTTACCCTGACTTTTCAGCGGATTAGGCAAATTTATAGATAAAATAACAGTGTACATGCTGACGCTCGTGTATCGCGCTATCGATGATTCTAGAAAATTTCGCCATTGGCATGCATGTATATCGATGGCGTGGTAACGGTCGAGATACCAAGTCTCGTCGAATTTTGAACGAGTCCCGCTCTTCGTCCGTTTTTTACTCTCTACGACGATATCTCGCGTCTACTTTACCGACCGTGTTTTGAAAACAGCCGTATATGTCCATGAACGCGGATATATGAACAGCCGCGCTCTTTCCAGAACGTACATTGCACGCGCAGGCGCGTGACCTTTTCTAAGTCCTTTTCTTCCTTTCGCCGCGACCGTAGATAGACCTTTTTTTCTTTCTTTCCCTGTGGTTTTTTTTTCTTGTTGCTCGTCGTTCCACAGGGAGAAACAGGGAGTATTTGACTTCTACCGGGGTCGTACCGTACATGCTTCTTGTCGTTTCTTGTCAATATTTACGCCAGACCTGTATGTGTATGTCTTTCGCTACGTGTATTACGAAACTCGCTTTCGTCGCTCAGTTATGTATGTACATGGTTTCTTCGTGTCGTATCGATTTCTTAGATCGTACGAATTTCTTACGAAAATCGCAAACTTCAGAAATGGTCGTTTACATCGGTTTCATCTAAACTAGTTCAAATTTTATTTACTTTAATTACAGAAAATTATACAAATAGAAAGTATTTACACAGAAACATTCAAACCAACATGTAATTAATGTAATTCGCTTTTGAAGTAACAAATTTATAATATTTGTTATTGATTCGTAAATTATCTTGTCCTTCGATCTAAATGATCCTTATTTATAATCGAAGAAGTATTTGTAATCGTAACGGTAGAAATGAAGGATTTTCAAATTGACCAAGGTCAAGAACTCGTTGGTTTTCTCGGAAGCGAGAAGCATCGTTGATAGGAGTAATTCGCCGCAGTTAGTATCTCCATTCGTTAAACGCAATTACACATAGACTCCTGCAAGACACGCGTCGATTAGAATCTTTGCGACGCGGCGGCAGGATCGATTATTATCCTGCCAGCTGGATCTTATCGCATCCTGTTCATCGCGTTGTTTGTTCCGCCCTGCTCCGCTCGTATACAAACACACACGCAATGCTGTGCAACTGTGCACGATTTTTTCCTTAATTTTATTGTATACTGGGTGTTTTACAGAAATCGAACGTTATACAACTGCAGTTTATATCGTAGGAAGCAGAATAAAAGTTTCATTAGGCAAAATATATCACACAAAAAGTATAAAAAAGAAAAGTGAAAGTAATACGTACTTCTTTTAAGACGGAAAAATGTATCAATTAGTGTATAGAAAAATATACCAAGTGATGCATCACTTAAAACAAACTACTTAACGATATATTTTTTCTATCTTCTGCTATTTTAAACCTAGCTGCATAAGACACCCTGTATACAAGTATTCATAGCTTCTAAATAATCGAGAAATCCGGTTATTTGAATAATTTACCATAAATTCATAATTTACTAGTAATTGAATAACATCTCTAGTTTATTCTTACAAATAGTGATAACAGGAAGGCAGTAAGGTATTTAAAAATGAATAAAGAGGATGTGCATGATACTTGCACGATCGATATAGTTAAAAATATAGAATTCCATTATTCCAAATTAAGTCATTCCAAATTCATCTACTGATTTTTACGTAATTAGTTATTTCGATCTTATCGACGTTGATTTTAGATTTTTAAACTTAACATAATTTAAATCTATGATTCTGTGTTCGTATAGTTATTTACATGATTCAGTCGTTTAACTACTGAGTAATTATCGACGATTCGTCTAATTAAAGTAATCCTCGGTGATATAAATAGGTCGCGTGATTTACGTCAAAGAGAATATTAATTTGGCAGAGAAAAATGCTTAACTTTTTCAGCCCGTTATGAATCCATATATGCGTTACGAAAAAATTGTTCATAGCGTCGTAAACCCATTTATGCGTTCGCCTACAACCATTCAATGAGCGTTATGAACTTATATGCACGTACGTCCAATACTATCTTTGCTCTTGTGCCTGGAGATAATAAAAACAGTAGGGAGAAACCGTTTTTATTGTGCCACGCTTGATGAATTTTCAGTTTCTTATTCTTTCTTTATTTAGTTCTCGTCCAAAGAATTATTATACTGGGAAAATTCATTAATTTTGTAAGTACAAAGGTGTAATTCGTTATTTAAAGTGCCTATAATAAATTCCACAATCAGAGTAAATGAATAATAAATATTTAAATGTCTATAATGATTCTATTTTTAATTCATTTAATTTAATATATAATTACAGTACGTTTTTAATTCATTCCGTTCAAGTTTTTGCGTTTAAATAATAATAGTGAAAAATTCAAACAATAATAGTGAAAATATTTCAATAGTGAAAAATTGTTGTAAACAACGTATAATAAACGCGTTATCGAATATCGAATATCTTGGCGCTGGAAAGGTTAAGCGAGGTACATAGATTGAGGAAAGGATTCCGCTAATTGTCAATTATTAGCGATACTTTATTAATTTTCTAGTAATAGAAAATACAAGTGGAAATTAATATCATAAATGTATCTTGAAAGCAACATAGCGCGTGTATAAAAAGAACATTTAAAATTGAAAAGAAAATTTAGTAATTTTTCAAACACTCTATGTTACAACAGAGCGATCGATAATTTCCAGTAAACGATCGACGAGCGTTCTTGGCTTAGGATTGCATATTAATATGTTTTAAAATAACGTCATCCTTCTTGTCCATTCCGATCATCCGTCGAGTGAATTTATAAGGAAAAAAGGCGTAGGAATTAGCGTCGATTGTGTAACGTTTGCCATGGAATATCCGGTTCTTTCGCGTTGCGTTGGCGTCTCTGAAATAATTCGCGAATCGTAAAGTTCACTGCAACGAAGCACTAAGCGAGTTGATCGTTTACGAGTTCCACAGCCTTGTAGCGAGATGAGGAAAGAAAACAAATTTCAAAAGATTCCAAACATCACGCGTTACACAGTGAACAAAAAGTTTCATAAAACGAGGGAGAAATAATTTTAGATTAATTTAATCTGCAACTGGTATGGTGTTTATATATTTTGTTACGCAGGCTGTACGGCGGAAATTCGCTGGAGTTTCAATAAAGTTCACCGCAGAAATATTATTTAGGTAGTACAAAAAACAGGAGAAAGATAACATCATCGATTATAGCTATTATTTTATTTAATTGCTCGACGCAAAATATCTTCTTTTCATTGGAACGATCAGTGAAAATAGATCTGATATATCTTTTGTAAAATGACCGAATAGTTTTACAGTAATGAAACAACTACGATGGAATTCCTATATATAGGATATTCCTATATATATATCCTCCATCCTACTATGCAGGTTCTATATATAGATTCAGATCATCTTTTACAAGATTTCAGTGAAACATATCGTAGTTTGAATCCATAGAGAATAACGGCCATGATAAAGAAATTTCAAAATTCTACGCGCATTAACTAAATAATTGAATGATTAAAAACAAACAAAGTTACACTTATTCTAGGTTTATCGTATGATAAAAAGATCTAAACAGTTAGTGATTAAGGAACTCCTGATTGGTAAATTTTACTAAGATAAGCGAAATGATTATCAGAGATCGGAGTATTAGGTCCAAAGTGGTAACAAACTTAGACTTCGTATTTGCTTGTTTGGATAAGAATGATTCCAAACTTTGGTCTTAGACGAGTCCAATTAAGGAAAAATTTTCGTAAGTTTCTAGAGCGCGCATATAGTTTCCATCTTTTCCTCTCTCGAATTCCGCGAACAAGCAATGAGTTCTATATTCGACCTAACGTGAAAGTATACGTACGTCCTTGGCGCAATAAACGCTACTTTCAGCTGGAACAAAGAGTAGCACGCAATAAAACGTCGAGTGCTGCTCGGTTTGCACTCACTTCCCCGTTACGTTCCATACGGTTTGTCCCCCGATATATTTTATTAAATGACGAATTCACGCGAACAGAATAGAGTGATTCATTCATCTATTTTTGATTGGAAAACTAACCACACTGAAAATGGATCCTGTTGATGCTTGTAAAAATTTTACAACGATAGATGAATCTTCCAAACGACATTTCATACAAGGTTTTTTAGATTTTCTTCTTTAATACTTCAACCTTCTAATCTCATATTTTTTCCGGTCTAAATACCCAAAAATAAGTAATCCCTTTTTTTTTTATTGAGAAGCTAGAAACGGATTTTCTTATTGACTATAAAGATTTTACGACGATGGATCAATTTTTTAGATAGTATCGTGTAAAATATCTCTTACGTAACTCTTGAATTTGTATCGTTTCTTGGCTTAAACATCGAAAAGTAGTCGATTTTTGTTTTTCATTGGAAATCTAAACTTGTCAAAAATGGATCTATTAATCGTGCACGCGATAATTCTGTGATATGTGAATCAATTTTTCATTTCGTAAAAGCTTTTCCAAATTTCCTTACGCGATAATTTGAACCTTCTAATCTCACGTATTCCAACACACGATTTTAATTCTTCTCGTTAACCAACAAATCTATACGCTCAAATTTAATTGTCCGAGCATAAATTCTATCCAAATAAAATTTTATTTATCGCAATAAAAATCGTTCTCAATGTACGATTTATTAAATTCCAGCTAACAATGAGTTTTTATCGCCTATCCACATGATTAGCAAAACGTTAAGCCAATCGTACAAACGCTTACGGCTTAACCTTTCAATTTTTCTCGTTGCTAACGAAACACGCAAACGTACGTTAATTGAAATGAAATTATTCAGACGTGAACTTTGATTATTAT